GTCCTGGCTCGGGGGGGGGGGCCTGCCAGAGCCAGAGGCGGGTCCAGGGCCGGGCAGCCCTTTTGCGTCCCCCAGCTCCCCCCTGGGCCGGGGTTTTCAAGCCCCAGCTGAAGAGATGGGTTTGTGGAAGGGACGTTTTCTGTCCTCGCCGCAGAAGCTTCCTGAAATCACCTTGAAGAGGCTGAAGCTGGAGCAGAGCAAGGCTCGCCACCTCCCCCTCCACCTCCACGCCCACCGGCTCTCCCTGCCCCTGGGTGAGCGGATAGACCTCGTCTGCAAGCCGCCCCTCTTCTTCCAAAAGACCCTGAAGCAGCTGGAGCTGGATGTCGCTAAAGACCGATGAGGCAGGACGGGAGCGGTACCGTCTATCTCCGCATCTCCGGCACATGGTAGTGCTGGCTCCGGCCGCTCTGCAGCGGCGTCCACCTTGGAGCCAGCGGTGTGATGAAGTCTACGGCCTCTGCCGCTTGCCAGAGACCTCCTGCGTTGGTACCAGTGTCGCTGGCTTCAAACCAGGCACCTGTGCGTGCTCCTCGCCCTGATTCGGTACAGAAAAGTGGCTGGGCACGCTGAAGAGCCTCTTGTTCGGACAAACGAGGCCAGGTAGAAAACTGGGCTTTGCCCAAGCCATGTTTTGAACTTGTCTCCGAGCAATAAAAGATGCAGCTCCCGCAGAGGTGAAGCGTTGCGTCTCTGTGCTCAGGCCAGGCGGATCTCGGGCTCTGGGCAGGTTTGAGCGCACCTGGGGGCAGTCCCTCCCGGTTTGAGGGCCGCCGCTCGTCCCTCCAGAGCTGTTTCGCAGGCTCTTCCCTTGTATCCTGGCGCTCCGCGTTCCCATTTGGAGACTTCCTTCTTTCGAAAAATCCATCGAAAGTGCAATTTGGCAGTGGCTGTGGGGTGGTTTTTTTTTTTGCTGTGCCGAGAGACTGCGTGGGGAGTTCCTCTGCTTTGGCTTGGCCGAGCAGCTCCGGGACTCCCTCTGCCCTGTGCTGCCAGAGGTGTCGGCGTGGGTTTTTGGGGAGCGACTGTGCTGCCGGGAGAATCTTTTCTATCCCACCGCCCCTTCTGATTTCCCTGTCGCTTATTTCCGGACCCCGTTACCGGGATCCACTCTCCCTCGGGAGCTTGCCTTGGAGCCAGGTTCCTTCCCCCGTGCCCTGAGAGGGAGGCGAGTGGAGAGATTGAAAAGCTGGGGAACCGCAGTGGATGTCCCGCCTCAAAATCGCGGCCACCAGCCTTGGGCATCTCTTGGCCTGTCCCCAAAAGCTTGGGGCTGGGCAGCAGGACTTTTTCCAGCCCCTCCGGCTGGTTTGGGTGCTGGAAAGGGCTCTTTGTACCCCACGGGGCTGCCGTGTACCTGCCTGGGGTTTCTTGGCAGGGCGATGCCCTGTCCCCTGCCTCCCCGGCTCCTCACGCGGGGTAAAAATAGCTGGGGAGCCCCACGCCCCTCAAACGCGCCGCCAGAAATACCTCTGCTTATGAGAGAGGGACGGAAAA